GATTGCAGTTTCTCTGTTCTCATCTCCATTTGTATTCTCTCTTCTCACCCCTTTCTACTTCTTTTATGTTGTTGTTGGTAATTTCATTCCAGTTGTTTAGCATCTTCAATGTAAATTTAGTTTACAAGTTAATGCAGTAAACCCACTATTCTATTGTTGTAAAATCCTATTTGTTTCAATGTGCAATATTTTTTTTTCCAACTATACGTGCAGTATATCACATTGGCCTTTTTGCCGCAAAGATCTTGAAATCCACTTTCCTAGTGCCGTGGATTCCAAAAAGTGATACGGAAAAATCAAGGAACGAAGGATCCTTTCAACTACCAAACAGATGAGTTGATAAATAGAGGAAAAAATGATTTAGTTGAAAAATATCAACTGAAATTTCTTTGTATGCTCATGTAGCTATGCGAAGAACTGAAGAGACAAATCGGAGTCCAAGATTGGCTACTTAGAAGAGTTAATTATATACACAAGCTAAGGTCTTTATATTTTAATTGTAGGACCGTCATATGTTTCCCCTAACACCACGAACTGCTCGTTTCTTTCTTCAAGCCATGCATATCTTGTGCCATCTTCTTCCACCTTCACTTCTTTAACATCTGCAATTCCATTCACAAATTAAATTTAATAGTCTATAAGCAAACTATTGTAGCTTAACAGACACAGGTACCTTCTGTCATACCAGAAAAACAGTCATAAGTGAAATCTTGATAGTATGTACAATGACGGCCTACAGATTCCGAGTATGGTGGCCCTAAAAAAAATTGTATATTAGCCTTCAAACACTTTGCATCAATTGTCTTAAGATTCAGAGAGAATAACCTATTCTTAGCTATATGCACTTGAGCAATTAGAATTTCACTTGAATCTCTAAGCCAAAGATGCATATTTTTCATGTGGATGTCATATTCCTTTTCAAGAAGTTGGCCCAAACTCAAAATATTACTTTTTAATTTTGGCACATAATAAACATCTTGAATTAACTTGTGACTACCATCTTTACAGGAGATCAGAATCGTACCTATCCCTTCGATTTGAATCTTTGAGGTATTTCCAAAGGACACATTACCTCTCACCGTTTTATGGATCTCCACAAACTTCTCTTTGCATCCACACATATGATTGCTTGCTCCATTGTCCAAATACCATGAGCTTCAATCATCTCTATCTTCTTCCTTGAGTGCCATCAACAACGTTGACTCAACTTCTTCTTTCCTGTCATCAACAAGGTTAGCTTTTTCTGCAATATTGCTATGACATTCCCCAGAGTAATGGCCAAATTTATGATAATTATAACACTCAAATTTTGATTTGTCATACCTTTGTCCATTATTTTCTTGGTAGTAGCCACGTCCTCTTCCTCCTCTATGTTCACGACCATGACCTCTGAATGTGTGGTAGATTTTAACTTCATTGTTGAAGTTGTTACCATTACTTCTTCCTCTTCCATGACCGCCACGGCCTCGGCCGTTTCCTCGATAGCTCTTTTCACCTCCATAATCCTTGAAGGATGCCTGAGTTTTAAGAAGTTGCTCCAATGGCACTTCTTATCTCCTTTTGATCTTTTCTTCGTGGGCTTGTAAAGAACCTTCCAATTGCTCCACCATCATAGAGTCTAAATCTTTATACTCATCAATAGCACACACCACAAAATCAAATTTAGATGTTAAAGTGCGAAGGATCTTTTCTACCACACAAACATCTTTTATGTCCTCCCCGTATCTTCTTAGTTGATTTACAACAGCCTTCACTTTTGAAAAATAATCCGAGATGCATTCGGATTCTTTCATTTTTGAAACATCAGCCTTTAGTGTTTGAAGTTTTACCTTCCTCGCCTTGTCAACTCCTTGAAGAGAATTTTGTAAAATCCCCCAAGCTTCCTTTGAGGTGGTAACCGGTTTTGCATGCCCTCTGTCTACGATTTCCCATACATCCAGAGAGCCAAGAATGACTTTCATACGTAGACACCATTTCTCTTAATTATCTTTTGTGAGACGGGGGCACTAAAAAGATAGCGGACCATTATTTGCCATGGTTCTGATACCACGATGTTGGGAAAAATAATAATCCCGCCCAGGAATAATATCCATGACAAATGATAATAACACAAGAGAGTAACAGCGACACCAACTCTTTTTAGTCGGGGTAAAATACAATACCCTAGCGGAGCAATATAACCACTATAATATTACAACTTAGTAGTGTCAAGAGACTACTACAACTTTGAAAGAAATAACACTCCTTATTTCAAATACCTCACTACTATATTACTCACTATTTATCTCATGACTGTGGATTACTCTCTCTAACTTCTATTGTTTCTCTTTATTTCGATGTGATTGAAATGAAGAATGGATGCATCTATTTATAGTAAGAGTTTCCATCCAACTACTACAAATAAGATGGCTTGTTGTTGATTTAGTCACATAATTTTTCAACAAAGTTAGGCACCTCCCATCCCATTTTTCTTTTTGTTTTCTTCAAAATGAGCCCCACAATGCATACAATTTTTTCACTTTTTTATGTTTGCTCTTGGATCAGGTAGCCCTAACCCGGTGACGACACTTGTGCGAGTTATGGAAGCTATTTCGATACATGAAAAGTGGCCGCTGATTAGTTTATTTCGTGCTTCTCATATCATAGTTTTTAAATGTAGTTGTTAGTAATTTGCAAAAGTATGGAAGAGACAATATGATGTAGTAGATTATTTCAATTAAAAGAGTACATGCTCTTCACTGATTATGATTATCCTGTTGATAACTGGGAAAAAGATAAAAAATGAGATGCATTTTGCATATTTGTACCAAAAGGTAGCAACTGAGAGTTTCCCTGTTCTCTATTTACAGTTAAGTTGTTTGAGAGTCTCAGATATAAAAAGAATAAAGAAAAAGGAATATCCACATCTTTATAGATGAGCCAAAGTACCTAAACAATGAGGTTACATGAACCGACAATTGGTTTGCGAAGGTTTTAATGTGGCGGTTACTATAACCTCCGCAATCTATATCAAATTGTGGGGTTTATTTACTCCCGCAAATATTTTTTATTTACGGCGGTCGGTAACCTCCGCAATCATTTAAAAAATAGCGCCCACTAATCCCAATATGTTTCCCTTATTTTTTAATCTTTTCCCTCTCTTTTTTTCCCAAATCCCTTTCTTATTTTCGCTTTTTTCATTTTCAGAAACTCTCACCCACTCTCACTTAATCAAAACCCATAGCAATATTCCATTTCTTCTTCACTTAATCAAAACCGCGGATCTCTTTTCCTTCACTTAATCTCTTCCATTTCTTCTTCATTTTCTCCGATTTCAAGCCCGTGTAGTTGCAAAATTCCAAATACAATAGTTCTCTGCTTTTCTTCAACGGCTCCTCTTTCTTCAGCGCCTCCTCTGTTGCAAAATAAAAGAGATATGAAAGAAAACTTTAGATCTATCAATCAATTGGATGTAAGTTTATTTGATTTTGCTCTTTCATACAAATTCCTCTTCGATTTTGCTTTGATTTTGCTTTTTGTCTTTGTTTCTTCGTGCATGTGGGTTTTAAGTTTATTTTCTTTGTTAATTTGTAGAATCGGTGTATTTTGAAGAAATTTGGTAGAATCGGTGTATTTTGAAGAAGGATATAACACTCTTTGTTGAATTGAGATGTAAGTCCTCTTTCTCCCTTTGCATTAGGTTCTAAAATTAAGATTTTTTATGTATTTTGTAGGTTAATTTCTGCGATTTGGGTCTTAATTGAAATATTTTCGTTTCCATGTGTATTTTAGAACTTCTGGGGACCTTCAGAGAAATGCAATTGTCGCCGACTGCTTTTCCTCTTTCTGCTCTACGTTGTGTTTGAATCAGTCTCATGGTATATTTTTTGTTTTTCTGCAGGTTTTGGGTATTTCATTCAATTATATCTAAAAGATTAGCTTCATCTTGTTATGCTAAAAAAAAAAGTTCCTTATGACTTAATGGCGTAATATATGATTCACAAACTGTGTAAAAGTGAATATTGAATCTCAAATTATTATTGACTGCAAATTCTGAACTTCTAGAAAATGTGTAACTCCAGTGAATGCAGTTTGGTCCGAAAGCTAATAGGAGACTACTTCATTGCCATGATGCATTTATTTTCACTTGTAACAAAATCATTAGATTCCTCTTTATTTCTATTAGCTGTTGTGTTTTTCTTGGATATGCACCTTCTGGTTTGTGTACAAAAGACAAATTTCGCAGAATAATGTTCCATTTTCTCTTGATCTTTGGTTCTGCCCTTTTCTCAATTAAAGAATTTTGTCGTTCATTATTTTTTTTTTATCGTTCACATTGAATTTAGTTAGTTAATATCTCTAAAGATGACTGCCAAACACCTTATCAAAAAACTATATGTTGTTATAAAAATAGCATGAGGAATTATTGATCTGTAGAGTAAGCTTGAAGGCTAGATTGGCAAGGAGAATAGAGAAGCTCAATTTATATCCTTAACGAATGTGTGTGATAGACAAACAAACTCTAACAATATCATCGGTAGTTTTATATCCAACAATATTATTGGTAGTTTATTTAGGGTCTTATGTACACAACCTTACGCAGCCTTAGTTGGCATTTATGTACACAACCCATGATTTCCATCTTATTCTTTAACAAATATTTTCCTCTGCCATTTTTTTATTATTACAAAATTTTATAATGTTATTCCGTTGATAGGTTACTAAATCAAACTTTCTCATGGAAATATTGTAGGTTACAATACCTTTTAATGGATAAATCTTGGATTGGAATGCCTAGAAATACAACAAAGTATTTACTTGGTTTGAATCAATTTCTAAATTTTGCATTTAAGAATGCTTCTATAGGAGATAGAATAAAATGTCCATGTCCTAAATATAATTTTGGGAAGTGGCAGACTAGAGAGATAGTGTACGATCATTTGATTAGCAAGCCATTCCCTCAAAATTATGTCACTTGGATTCTTCATGGGGAAACAGAAGTGTTGGAGAACTCTAGAAGCACAAAGGTTATCCCAGATGCACTGCCTCCTAAAAATCCTATGGAATTGTTGATAAATAAAGCATTCTCGAGTTTAAGGTATGAGGGCATTGATGCAGGTCCGTCACAAGTAGTTGGAGAAGAAGATATATTAAATGATCTGCATTCTTCAAATAACAAAGAATTTTTTGAGTTGCTTAGAGATGGAAGTGAAGAATTATATGAAGGGTCCAAGTACTCGAAGCTAGAATTTTTGTTGAAGTTGTATCACATAAAGTGTTTGTCTGGGCTAAGTGACAAGGGAATGACTATGATGCTAGATTTACTGAAGGATGTATTTGGATTTGCAAGGACACCTAATTCTTTTTATGAGGCCAAGAATACCATCAAAAAGCTTTGTCTTGTTTATATCAAGATAGATGCTTGTCCAAACGATTACATGTCGTACTGGGGAGATGATGCTAATGAGGAAACATGCAGGTATTGTCATACTTCTAGATGGAGGCCAACTAAGAAGAGAAACAATAATCATATGTTCTGTAGCCAAGTGATGCGGCTAGCAGATCCATTTCACCTATGGATATAAGAAGATCATCCGGTGGAAACAATCCTAACGACAACCATTGAGGTGCTTGCAAATGTATTAGATAATTACGTATTGTATTCGATTGAATGGCCATAGTAGATCTTTTATCCATAATGGTTGGAATGGATGTTTTGTTTAATGTTAGTTTTAAGACTAATTATAATATTGATGTTTTATATTTAATGGTTGGAGTAGTTGTGTTTAAAGCAAATTTTTGAGACTAATGATAATTTAATTTAATGTATTTTGTGGTTTATTAATATATTGATGTTACTTGATTCCAGTAAGCAATTTATATAATTTGTTGATGATTCATTATTGTGACGACCCGACCAGTCGTCTCATGAGTTACTGCTCTGTTTCCCCCATTTCTGCTTCTTATTGCTTTGTCTATCAGTTTTATATGTGACCGGGTTGATTGGTTCGGGTTCGGAAATGATTTGGTTAGGTTTGAGACACTTAGTCTCTTTTGAGGAAGCTTAAGTTGGAAAAGTCAACAGGATGTTGACTTATGTGTTCGAGGGCTCGGATGTGAGTTCCGATGGTTCGGATAGCTTCAGGAGGTGATTTGGGACTTAGGAGCGTGATCGGAATGAGTTTTAGAGGTCCGGAGTAGGTTTAGGCTTGGATTGGCGAAATTGGATTTTTAGCGATTTCCGGTTGATAGGTGAGATTTTGATATAGGAGTCGGAATGGAATTTCGAGAGTTGCAATAGTTCCGTTGTGTCATTTGGGATGTGTGTGCAAAATTGTCGCACCTCCTTTTCGCCGCGCCCGCAGGGCGCGTGGGGAGTTTTCTCCAATTGAAGGANAATTTCAGGTCATTCGGACGAGTTTTGATTGGTTTTTTTTATCAAAAGCGTAATTTAGAAGATTTTGGAAACTTAGGCTTGAATTCGATGTGTTTTGGTTGATTCGGTGTTGTTTGAGGTGTTTTGAAGATTGATACAAGTTTGAATAAGGTTTTGGGATATGTTGGTACCTTTGGTTGAGGTCCTGGAGGCCTCGGGGTGATTCCGGATGGTTGAAGAGTTTGGGAAATTTGAGAAACTGCAAATTTTTCTGTTCTGGTATTTCCGCACTTGCGGGTTGGGGACCGCATGTGTGATGCTGCAGGTGCGAGGAAAAGACCGCAGAAGCGGTCAAGGAGGAGAAGGGTAGGAGCCACAGATGCGGTTGGCTTACCGCACCTGCGATGGCGCAGGTGCGGTTACTTGGTCGCAGATGCGGTTTTGGACCATTAAGTAAAGGCCGCAGAAGTGGCTAATTGACCGCAAATGCGGTACTGCAGAAGCGGTATCTGGCCGCAGGTGCGGAATCCCTGGGCCAGAAGGTATATATTATTTTCTTCGCGAAATTTTGCTAAGTACACCATTTTTTAAGACGGGAAAGAGGCTAAGGCGGTGGATTTAAAGAGAAATCAAGGGATATCAGTTGGGTAAGTTCCCTAAGCTTCATTATTTGGGTTTATAATCATTTTTTCATTGTTTAATCATGGTATTAGGGGAGATTAAGGAAGAAAAATTGGGGATTAGGGTTTGAGATTAAGAGACTTTAAAATGGAAATTTGAGGGGTCATTTGGACTCCGATTTCAGTGTTCTTGGGTATGTATGGACTCGTGGAAGGATAAGGATTACGCTGATATAATTTTTACCGAGTTCCATGACGTGGGACCGGGGGTCGGGTTTTGGTAATTTCGGGATTTATGTTGTAAATTGATTATTTTCACTTGGGCTTCGTTCCCTTAGCATATTTTGACGCCTTGATTCTGATTTTGGATAGATTCAATGCGAGTGGAGGCCGATTCGAGTGGCAAAGGCGTCGCAGAGTAGTATTTCAAGCGGTTTGAGGTAAGTAACCATTGTAAATCTGGAACTGAGGGTACAAAACCTCGGTATTTGACTTGTTTTGATGAATGCAATGACGCACATGCTAGATGACGAGTGTGTGGGCGTGCACCGGTAGGGATTGTAACTTGGTCCGTCCCGTAGCGACTATAAAGCCGCGTATTTGATTTGGAACCTTATGATATTTCGTACTTTAGTCATTTATACTATATTACGGGTTGTATGCCATGTTTGGGGCCTTGTGCCGACCTGTTGAGACCTTTAGGGGCATTTTTACTGTCTTTCCTCACTTTACTTGTTTGAAAGTACATCCTCAGTCATGTTTTACCTGTTTATTGTTTAAAAACTGGTTTTATCACTCTACTTCTTAAATGTGAGGACTGTTTGGACTGAGTTCCCTAAATTCCTATTGTTGTGCCCGAGAGGTTGTGAGGTTAATGATTGAGAGAGTTTGAGAACCCAATGGTGAGGATACCTATATATGTATGACTTATGGATCGGGTTGCACGCCGCAGCGATACTTATATGGATCGGGTTGCACGCCATAGCGATATATATATTGGATCGGGCTGCCCGCCGCAGCGATATGACGCTTGGGCTGTAGGAGCCCCTCCAAAGTCTGCACACCCCCAGTGAGCGTAGTCGACTATAAATTATGGATCAGGCTGCACGCCGCAGTTATTATTATTGTTGTTGTTGTTGTTGTTGTTGTTGTTGTTGTTGTTGTTGTTGTTGTTGTTGCTGCTGCTGCTGTTGTTATCACGAGTGACTGAGAGGCTGCCCGAGAGGCCATATTCTGCGTGATACCTTGCCCGAGGGGCCCAGTCATCATATTTTCACTGATTTCACTCTTCTTCAAAATAAGCCTCTGTTGAAAAAATTTGCTAAGTATGTGATTTCAAGTATTTCAATTGAAACTGAATTTTTATGACGAAACTGGTTTTAAACTGTGGGGTTTGATCTGTTATCCTGTTGTTTACTCATTTATATGATTTTTAACTGCTCGTCACTACTTTCAGACCTTATTTATTTTAGCTACTTACTGAGATGACATACTCACATTACTCCCTGCACCTTGTGTACAGATCCAGGTGCCCGAGCGGCAGAGTGAGGGTCCTCAACTTATCCAGAGTTTGCCGGAGATTGCAAGGTAGCTGCATGGCGTCTGCAGCCCTGCTTTTCTCCTTCCTATCTTGTTCTTTTCCGCACATTTTTAGACTTATGATGTATTAGACAGTTGGTTGTGTACTAAAGGCTCTAGACTCGTGACACCAGATGTTTGGGCTGTTGTCTTATGTTTTATTGATTTCCGCATATTTCAGTTGTTTTAAACACCTCTTTGTGAAATTGGTATTCAAACCCGTGTTAAAAAAAATGATTTTATGAAAGCCAGTTGGTTGTGGATATATGATGGTTAGGTTGGCTTGTCTAGTAATATGATAGGCGTCATCACGATCAGTCATTTGGGGTCGTGACAATTATATTAATATAATTAAAATTGGAACAGTTATGGAGTAATATTATATTGCAGAAAAAAATATTCAATAAATAGCGGAGGTTATAACTGCCGCTATTTAACCTATAATAATATTGTGTTATAAAATTTGTAGGTGTTAAATAAAGAAATTGCGGGGGTTTAGACCTCCTTTATTTTTTTAATAAGTGACAGGCAAACTACCAAATTGCGAAGGTTATACCACCGTCAAATACTCACCGTTATATGATAACGGCGATCTGTCAAAAAAATCCCGCAAATTGGTTGCGGCGAACATTATTGCGGGGGTTTTGGAAACCGCCATAAAAGTATATTGCAGAGGTATTAGACCGCCGCAATATGTAAATAAAACCTCCGCAAATTCAGCATTTTTTTGTAGTGAATTATCGGTGCATTAAAAAAAATGAAAAAATAGAGAAAATCTCACCACAACTCAACCAATTAAAGCACATATCTTGGAACTGAAATTGAAAAATTAAAAAGAAAAAGACTCATCTATAAATGCACGTACAAAGTTATTTTTTATGCTCTCTTCGATTTTTCAAGATTCAGGCTGACTGCAATGATTGATGATTGAATTTTCAAGGTGTTGTACAACACAACTCAGTGAACATATTAAACTTTGATTTCTTTTTCTTAGAGATTACTGATAAGATTTGTGCCGTTTTGTTCTTTTTCTTTTCAACATTGAACGAAAAGAGCTTGTTCCTGCAAAGATTTTGAGCCCATGGCATGCAAAAATCAATCACTCAAAAAGTCAAATTTGCCGCATCAAAGAAAATTTTTAGTATTGAAGCCTAATATTAATAAATCATTGTCTTGAGGCCCGGAACTAAGTTAATCTATGCAGGCAAATAAAGAATAGAGTAGTGATCATAACAAAGAATTGAAACACTCAGCAAGATGAAATAGAGAAATATGATGGAGAAGTGGAATCAGCACCGGTGAGAAACCAAAGATAAATATAGAATCAATCAAAGCCCAAGTCCCAGCATGTATTACACAGAAAAAGTTCATGATATTTTCTGAACTCCCTACAAATAGTCAAGATGCAAACACCACCGTAACCCTCTACCGCCACAGGTAAAGAAAACTTGGGTGCATGCTTCTTTTTAACAAAACTTAAAGCCGAAATTTAATAAGCGACTTGAGTTTATACTAATAAGATTCGTATATCTTTTTATTTGAAGTTGTTTATAATGGTAATGTTTGAGCCATCTTGCACAGATCTCTTCCATTCATGAAAAACATATGTAATATTTTAGAAAACAATAATCAAGGTTAACCTTATATTTGTTTTAAAATAATTTTATACATTTTTAATAGTTCAAATCTATTTGAAGTAAAAGAAATGCTTTGTATGTGTATTTTTTGGTCGAGTGTGAGAAAATACCAAATCAATTAAAATTCAATATACATACTGTTTTTACCGACAGAGTCGGTCGATTTTTAATGCCCACCAAGTTTTTTTTTGTCAAACCCAATATTCAGTCGGTTTTCCGGTCGGAAATTACCTTTTTTAGTAGTGAAATTTATTGCTTAATATTTATATTCACCCGCATTAATTTTAATTTTCGTTCTATTATATTCTTTTTTTCATGGCAGTGTTCGAAAATTTGTATTCCATAATCCATAAAACAATTTATTACTTAATTTGTTAATTCTCAAATAAGATAAGTAAAATCCATATGCAAGACTAATCACAAAAAAAAAAAAGGAGGCAGGGGGGGGGGGGGGGGGGGGGTAAAAACAAGGTTTAGCATTTTTCGGTAACAGATAAGATTCTACATTAAAAAAAATCTACCCTAATCTTAACAAATTTTATCGGATATCTCAGATTTATAGGTCTCTATAATAAATAGAGTCCATATCAAAGCTATTTTTCAACTGGATTCCTTCTTGTAGTCTAACAATGGAGTTTGATGAGCAAACTAAGGCGCATCTGAAGGCCAGTCAAAACCCTAAAATTCTTGAATTAGAAAAACAAAAACAAGTAGAAGATGAAAAGGGTTTGATCATAGTAAAACCAAATTACAATATCATAAGTGAGATTAGCAGAGTTAATTATGTTGATGATAGTTTTGTTTTTCCACCTGGATATCGTTTTTGTCCACATGATGAAGAGCTTATCATTCATTATCTTAAGAAGAGAGTGATGAATGAACGTTTACCACATGACAAAATCAAGGAGGTTAATCTTTATAAATATAGCCCTCAAGAGCTTTCAGGTTATATTTTGTTTTTCTTAATCTATTTTCATTAATTAATCTCTTACAATAGAATAATCATGTTTAGTTTCTTGTATGTTTCATGACTAAGTAACTTTAATTAGGGTTTGTGTATGTTAAACTTAAACTTCAAAGATCTTGGTACTTAAAGAGTTATATTAATGTAGTTTAACTCGTTCTGATGCCTGCAGTGATGGATTCAGAATTTAGAATAAGACTATATACTATATTTAGAAGCAATGGATTCGAACGATCTATTGCGTCTTCTACACTAAGAACTTGTGATTAGGGTTTGTTGTTTTCACTTGGATACTAGATAATTTTTTTTTCTATTTACCTTTATTTTCGGGTTTATACAAAATATAAATCTAGATTCCTGATACTAAAAGTTTACTTTAGCATTAATCCTGCTATTTAATCTATGGTATCTGTGGTTTTGGATGGTTCAATGATATTGTAACATACTTAATTTGAACCTTAATCACGAGTGAACTCTATTTGTGTTGCTTATCCTACTTAATTAGGGTTTTCTTTGATCATTTTCTATTATAGAGAAGGTAGTTTAGTTCTCTTTGTATGATCTCTTAACGATTGTATACATTTTTTATATGATTTTATCTAATTGAATTTTGTATTACTCTATAAGCAGACATAATTGTCCTTTTTTTTTTTAAACTTAGTTGTCATGTGACCAGGAGGGTCACGGGTTCAAGCAATGGAAACATCCTCTTGTAAGGCTGCATACAATAGACTCTTATAGTCCGGCCCTTCCCCGAACCCCGCACATAGCGGGAGCTTAGTGCATCGGGCTGGCCTTTTATACTATTGCTTAATACTTGACTATGTGACTCTTTATAGCTACTTAGTTCACTAAAATGTTCCTTTGTTTTTCCTTGTTTAACATGCAAATAGAGAACTATTCAATGCTGGGAGACAAGGAATGGTACTTCTTCACTCCAAGGGATAGAAAATATCCAAATGGTAATAGGCCAAATCGAGCAGCAGGAACAGGTTATTGGAAAGCTACTGGAGCTGACAAACCTATAAAGCACAATGATATTAAAGTTGGATTTAGAAAGGCTTTAGTTTTTTATGAAGGAAAACCTCCCAAAGGTGACAAAACAAATTGGATTATGCATGAATTTCGAGTGAATGAATCTCGCAGGCTCAAAAGACATGCACAAGACATGAGGGTAAGAATCTTATTTTTCATAAACTTTTAATTTTAGTTAGTTTCAATTGTATTCAACTTAGATTATGAGTCGGACTAGCTAGGTAGAAACAAACGAGGATCTATCAAAGACAGCCTCGCTGCCTGCACAATGTAGGAGTAAGACTGCATACACACTACCCTCCTCCAGAACTGACAGTGGCGGAACCGGAATTTTCATTAAGGGAGTTAAAATATAAAGAAATAAAGTCAACAAGAAGTCAAGGGGTGTCATTATATATATAATATTTTAAAAATACCGAGCTATACAGTATAATTTTCCGATGATGGGTATCGGTTGACACTCCTTTGACGCATGTGACTCCACCACAATATACCGACCATATTGTTGTTGTTGTACAAGCTAGCTAGAAATTCCAGATTCTTAACTTGAAACGTTTGTGGGTATTAGGAGTTTTATTTAACAATAAAGTGAGTCTACAACCAGGGGCGGATGCAGCCTATTACATGTAGGTTCCCGTGAACTCAGTAGTTTTTGCACATAGCTTATATATATGTTATAAAATTCACTAAATATCTATAAATTTTTTATTATGAACCCAATTATTTATTGTATATATACTTAAGGTCACTATAGGAACTCATAAACTTTAAATACTGGATCCGCCTCTGTCTACAAATAAACTTTTTCAACCTTTCTATTTCTCTTTTTCCTTTTTGGTCTCTTATTATTTAATATGCTTTAAGTTATACGCATTGACAACATAAAAAACTTTTAACTTTTACATTTTAAGTATAATTTAACCTTTATAGCATGTTATCAACTTTCTTTTCGAGTTATTAGATAAAATAGTTACGTATTAATTTGTTATTCCATGTAACTTAACCTAATGGTGAAAAAATTATACAAAGTACACATAATACTTAAATTCATTTACTATCATGCAAATATTTAGATGAAATTCACAGTTCTTTATAATCGAGGACATGGTTAAAAAATATTCAAATACCAACGACATGACCCTCGATAGAAAGGTGTGGAGGTCGAAAATTAGGGTGATGAATTGATAGACAGTCTATAGTTTTGCATTGTCTTATCAGTAGTAGTACTAGGCGTGTACCTTCCTATTCCTAGTCCTTTGTTTCTATAGGGTATGTTAGTGTTAACGGTAGGATGGACACTATTCTTGTAGTTTCATATCCCTGGATCTCTGTCATTATTCGTTGTATTATTTGCTTACACTATCTTATTATATTATTGTTGTTATTGTTTCTCTATTGATCCATCTTTTTTGGTTCTTGAGCCGAGGGTCTTTCGGGAAACAGCCTATCTACCTTCATAGGTAGGGTAAGGTCTGCGTATACACTACCCTCTGTAGACCCCACTTGTGGGATATTCTACTAGGTGGTTGTTGTTGTTGTTTTGGTAAGAGGGGAAACCCGCAACCGTTACAACCTATGCCACAGTCTCTGCCCTTCGGATGAGCACTCTGTGGTGAGCACTTTGTACGTACCGGGTAAACCTCCCCTGTGTGCTAACCTGCAAACCACACGGAGGATGAAAATCGCACTAGGCAAGTCCTGTGCGACAAAGCTCAACCCAGGAGACATTGAGGGGAGATTTGATCCTAGCATGGATGACCACCCTCCAAACTAACTAGGCAACTCCGAAGAGTTGTTGTTGTTGTCATCGTCGTCACAGTTCTTTATAAAGTAACTTTTTTTTGTTGTTGCAGCTCGACGATTGGGTTCTATGCAGGATTTATAAAAAAGTTGACAAGTCATTCAAGAATGCCCGAAAGGAACAAGAGCAAGACGATGCAAGCATAAGTTGTTCTTCTATTGGTAAGATGGAGAATTGTGACTACGAAGGAACTACAGATTCATATGAAATTGCGAGACAAAATTTAAAATTACCTCATCATTATGATATCACTTTCGACGATCCTGGTTTCAACATGGATTATAACAAATACAGTCTTGATAATTTTTCACATTATGGACCAAGACCAAACTATGGCATGCCTCTTCATCCATCATTTTCTCCTGGAAATATTTTTTGGGATCAAAGAGGATATCAAGAGAACTGCAACATTTTGCCTATGAATTTCGACGTGAATAACTTTTATGAAGATTCTTATGATGAAATTCAATCCCAGAATATTCTTGATAGTCTTCTTGATGAGAACTCATCGATCTATAAAGATTGATCCTATATTGATCGTCAATAATGAGGTTTTAGGCTTTAGAATTTAGATTAAGACCTTAATTATAGCTAGTTCATTAGCTTAATTCCACTGTTTTTAGATAGTATTAGTTTTTATGACTTCTTGATTGAAGTTCGTTTTGATGTTTGACTGTTTAAATATTAATTTTCTTCGTCTTGTGCTATAGTTATATCTCTTTTCTTTTTCAATCATTTGCTATACTTGTTATTAAGTTAGAAAAATGACATTGTACAGCCGCGGTAAAAATAATAGCCGAAAAAATGTATAAATTTGTATATTTTTTTTGTATATATATTATATAAAAAAATTATACAAGTTTTATACACTTTTTCGGCTATCGGTGTAAATAATTTATGGGACGGGCTAAAGTGATAATACCCCTATTAAGTTTGTGTTATTATTATTATTATACCACTAATTGATCTTCTTATATTGGAGATTTCTGCGTAATATATACTTTGCTTTATACAGTTTATATGGTTTTTTATTCTAATCTGATTTTAACAAGTCTTCTGATAAAAAATGATTTTATTAATCAAAATCAATAATTGGTTATCACGGTTTAAAATCACATTTTTATCTTTACTCACTTATATTTCTCTAATGGAATTAGTTTAATAAAATTGATTATTTAATGATTATCTAAGTATTATATTTGATCAGTTCTATAGTCGAAACAATCAGGATATTCTTATGTTATGTAACGATTGTCTAATCTAGCGTGCTGCTTTTTTTTTTTTCCCTTTTCAATTAAGGAAAAAAGCTTATACTTCTATGTCTACTTGCGAAAAAATATTTTCCAAAGAAAGAATATATAAATGGTGCAACTTAAAGCACTTATGGATTTGCCAAAAAAAAAAAAAGGAAGAAGAAGAATGAAAACCTTAGGGGATTAGAATATATATATATATATATATATATCATTATTCAATATGCTTTTCTCTTATGCCTTTCTTCGGTCATGGTTCGATATTCTGGTGTCCGAGTCGTAGAGGAACCACACCATCCATTCCGATCTTGATGGTTAAACTCTACTGCGGTGACGATACTATAGGGGAGGTCTTGCGGGAAAATAGTTCAACACCAGAATAATAAAAAGCTTAACATCTCTCATTCTTATTACTTTTTCAATACGAAAACAAAAAAAAATGAAAAATCAAAAGGTCATTTTATTCAAAACCCCAATTGTGTCATCCCTTCTCTCCCACTTCATACTTCGGAACTCATATAGAGATAAACGCGCTTTATATATATATGGTGAAAATGGCAAAAGGGAGCATTCTTTAGCGGTGAAAATGTAAATAACTCTTAACAATTATCATTACTTTGACCCGAAAGGGGCATAAAATTTGAAAGTAATCGTCATTACTCGTTATATATAATCGTAAAGTAAGAAAAGAAGAAAGGACAGAAGCATCATACTTTTCATCCCAACTGCATTTCAACAGGCTTCTCTTCAAACTCGACAAAAGTAAATTTAATAAGATAAATTGAATATAAAAAGTGCAAGTTGTTTGAGAAAGGTTGTTGCTCCTTTTTTGCATCCTAGTATCCTCCCGACAATAGTAGAAGCAAGCAAACTGTAGTAATAGCACAGAAGTCATAACATTCAATATTCCAGTCGTCAAGGGCAGTCCGATGTATTAAGCTCCCGCTATGCGCGGGGTCCGGAGAAGGGCCGGACCACAAGGGTCTGTTATACACCGCCTTACCTTGCATTTTTACAAAAGGTTGTTTACTCGGCTCGAACCCGTAACCTCCTAGTCACATTGTCAAGGCAACAAGAAAAAATGGAATGCATTGTCAATAATTCATAAATGTTTGTAACTTTCACCTAAGAAAGTCGCAGGCAGGCCGCGCAATTAATGACAATAAAAAAAATAACTTTTCCTGAAATTAATCACTTACAACTGAAATGCAGTTCAATGGAGCTGGACACATTCGCAAATTTGCTACTTCCACTGTAAAATTAAGGTTGGAATTTACAAAATAAACAACTCATTACATGGACAAGTTGCACATTCTCTCAAAAGGAAAATAAATCACCAGAACAAAGCAGAAATCTTAAATGTAGCCAAAAGCTGGTAAAACAAACAGGAGAGGGAGGACTACAGCCAACTAAGATGATCTGCAGAATGCACAGGATCTGATAGTAAAAACATCTCCTCTTAGTGTTTAGGCTACAGAGTTGAAGAAGTTCTAGATTTTCTCATCTTTTCATCTTGTGAAACAGTAGGTGGTGACGAGGAAGATGAAATCGCGGCATGGTAAGACGAAGATGCTAGCTGAGCAAATGCTGGAACAGCACCACCTGTAAGGTTTCAACCATGGAAAAGCATGTCAAATGGAACAAAATAAGGGAAGAGAGACAAGGTTTCCAAACTCGCAGTCTAGATAAAATAATAGGTAACAGAAACGAGTTTTTGTTCCAAAGGAGGGAACCTCTTGGATCTCCCTCCTATCAAAGAAACCAACACAAAGTACAAGCAGACAAAAAATGAAAGTGGAATCCAAGATTTTCTTTGTCAAAATTCAAATTTCCATTATCATCTCATCCTAGTCCAACCAATATGATATGAATAAGGTTCAAATCGGCAAAGGATTTCATGAGACAGATCTAGCTGAGGATTGCCATAATTCAGAGTAGTTACAGGAGCAAAGGAAGAAAAAAGGATCATTTCTGCTGCTCCTTGGCATATCCTCTTCATCCTTTCTAAGAACAACTCACTGATTCCAAAAAATAAATACTACTCCCACCGTTTCAATTTAGATGACACACTAGTATGTTCAGCTTAGGTTCATCTGATATTCTGATGAATGGAAATTTAGAGTCGTTGTAATGAAAGCTTTTCTACTTTATTGGTGCTTTCAGTTTTACATAAGAGAATTAACCATCTTACCAATCTGCCAACACTAAAGCCTACAATTTTCTTCATGTTCTTAGCTTGATGTACTCATGATGAACAATATAACTTGCTCTCATTTTATGTCGATTCGAATGCAACGAAAGCCCTAAAATTGTCCTCCATCAATGCTACTAAGTACTCTCTTCTAATTATTCAAATATAATGAACGTATTAAAGGGAATAGGCTATTTCACAGAAGGCTTTAAAAATCTGTAATAGATTAGACAATCTTAAAGGTTTGAAAAAGTAAGTTCAAACCTGCTAACCCTGCACATGCAGATGAGAAAACTATCACAGGAGGGGCCTGCATAAACAAAAAGAAAAAGTAAAAATATAGCAGGTAAACCACCAATATAAAGTCCACCACTATAAAAGTGAGAGAGGCAGACAACTAAAGAATAGGAACGAGTGAATCAATTCCTTTTTTGTCTGATAAGGGAGAAGTCTATTATATTTTTACTTTACATGTTCTATACTTTTGTCATGTACGTAAATATGCTTTACTATTGTGTAAAACACTTATGACTTAAGGTTGTGTTGATGATAGAGTTCAGAAAATTGGCACATTATCGCTCCTAGACTAAAGTCTAGTGCTTTAAAATTTTGCCGTAGCAATGAATGCTAGCATCTATAAGCTTTCGGAGACATTATTAGAAGTTTCTTCTGGCCTTCTGGGTCTCCTTAAACATTCACATATTACAGCATGAGGAAGTAGGAAAAAAGAATACTTACACCAACAAGGAAATGCAACCACATAGGTCCTTTAATCCACCTTCTAACGATCGGCATCACTGCAAGTAGAAGAATGAGATATAAACAGGACTTGTCGGTTAAGATTAACATGATCACAAGCAACATTGTCACCTCACTGTGGATTCCAGATGCATATAACACGAGTATAGTACTTAGGTAAAAGTTATCCCTCTCAGATGAACATATCAGTATCTTTTACTCATTTATTTCCACAAAGAATTCAAATTCAAAACGAATGATAGTATGCCGGACCAATACCCAGATGGGTGGTGTTATTTCATGTTACAGCATGGTTTGGTTGTAACATGAAGCAGAGCATACAACAACAACAACAACAACAACTAAGTTTTAGTACCAAGCTAATCGGAGAGACGGAGACAGCTATACGAATCCCCAGTATCCATTTGCTCCTTATAGAGAAAATTATAATCAACACAGAGCATTAACCTCGGGAAAAAAAGTATATAAGTGACACGGAAAAGCCGTTAACAAGAAGAATCACAAATGTTAACCAAATATAGAAAGTAAGGATGGTCAAAACACAGGTTCATACCATGGTTGAACCCATAGAACGCACTTGTAGTCCCACCAACCGCAGAACCAATCTGAACCATTAAGTAAGTAGTTAAGTAGCGGGGAAAGAGTGATGAATTAGGACAAGCAGATTCAGAGACAAAACAGGCGATTTATATAATACATTTTCTATTGGCGATTTCATAAAAATTTTAAATGGGGATTTCAGATTTACATTTAACACACTTCTAAAAGTACAGGTACTACTACTATTCTACGTAACTCTCATATGTTGCAACATTAAAGAATTAAAATTTATTTATACATTCAACTTAAATACTAATATTTTTGGGGTAAATTTCACAACTGGTTATAACTATGACTTTTTTTATCAAAGCCATATAAATATGTTTTTTGCACACAAAAATCATAAAACTTTTACTAACTCACAAAATCATAGGTGACCGGAAAACACAACTTTTCGATAGTATTTTTTTTATTCCATATTTTTTTCAGTCGAATAAATAATAATTCAATTAAAACAAAAATGACCCAACCCGACCTCACGTCACCTGACTCAATGCCCATATATGTAAATTAAAATAATACTAAAAGTGAATCCTCCGAAACACGAAACTTCTAACTTTTATTTCTTTTCAAGATTTTCATTCAAATTGATAGCGCTATTGTTTCAAGAGCTCTCTAATTGTCCATACCTTTTTTTTCCTAGGTCAGAATCTCACACATTTCAAACTAAATTATTTTTGGGGGAAGGCCTCACTTTTAGTATTATTCTATTTATGTATAAGGGTATTGGATCGGGACAGGTCAGTCCCTCTGTCCCGATCCAATATAATTGACTGATTGATCGAAATTAATTGCATTCGCTAGCCAAAAAGTGGATAGAATATGTAAATTTATGTATATAATACACATATATGCAAAAATATACATATTTTTATTATTATATTTGGAGGCGGCTATATATATATATATCTCCTATTTTAATTGGGTTGTTATTTATTAAACTGACAATAAAAAAATAATAAATGTGGAATAAGAAATACTGCCGAAAAGTTGTGTTTTTTGGTCAATATAATTTTTGTGTGAGTTATTGAATGTTTTATGATTTTTGTGTGAGAAAACATAGTTATAGGACTTTGGTAAAAAAAAATCATATTTATATGACCTTTTGTGAAATTTACCCAATATTTCTGCTATAAAACCAACTTTAAGTATTCTTCGTATTTTCTTTTCACGGCTACCAGAGCCAGCTCCAAGGTTAGAAGTAGTAAGGCTTGTGTTTTAGGCCCCCAAATTTGGGGGGCCCATTTGTTTAAAAATAATAGGTTCATAGGCATTTAAAAAATAATATTTAGTACTTTTAATACAAAAATAGAGTTTATAATAAAAAAAAAATTTAGATTTATAAATAAATTAATAATTTGACTTACTAAAAACTGGGTAGATGAATATTTTTTCCAACGTTTCAATTTTCCACTTTTTACTCCATTAAAAATTTTACTCTCTTGCTTAATTTGTCCAAGTCAATCTTTATTTTTCCCTATCTCTTTATATTTCAGAAACACCTACAAATTTTCTATCTTTCTCTTTGATATTTTTACTCACCTTCTTTCTCCAAGATTTCACTACTCACCTTCTTTCCCCAAGATTTTATTAGTTCAAGTGTTCAACAATACTTTCAAACTTCCAATAGTTCTATACTTCTATTGCTCTATAAAATCTTATCTAAGATTAATAATATCTCAAGAAAGATTAAATGAGTTGGCTATATCATCAATTGAAAAGGAATTATAAGAGAAAATCGATTATAAAAAAGATTATTAACAACTTTGTATCTCAAAAAGTTAGAAGAATATACTTCAAATAAAAACATATTTTATAACTTTCTTTTAAAAATTTAGGCCTCATATTAAACTTTGTCTTTAGGCCCTGCGTAAGCTCGAGTCGCCCTGACTGCTACTAACACAATCCATATGCATGTGCAATTTAACTTGTCTACTCATGGGTAAAAAAGTAGTATTAACATAATAATTAATTGAAAATCTGAAATCAAACCATAGAAAAGCTATCACGGATTAGAGGGGGAACCGTCCACTGGCTTGTCTCCTGCAAAAATGGAATGAGAGAAACACTCTCATACATATACTATATACATATAATACAGAACTAAACGAAAAAGGAATAGAGAAAGGGTTGTTTTTACCATCTCCTTAGAAAGAGGACCCGCACAGTGCGGGCATCTCATATTACTACTACTACTACTACCGCTATTATCTTTGTCTCTTCTCTGGTTTGGTTCCTTCATCATCATCACCAATTCATCAATTCTACAGAGAATCTCTGATTTATGCGGTTGGGGCACTGGAGCAATAGGAGTCACCAAATTCTTGCTTTTTGGAGAAGAAGATCACCTAGCTCTTTTTTCCCCAAATTCTCTGGATTCTACGGACTCGTTTAATTTCAAGTATGGGCCTCGCTCCAGTTAAGACCATGAATTTATCTTACCATCTTGCTTCACAACCCTGTAAGGCAACATACCTTAAGTTGCTCCATAATATATAGCCAATGATAGAACGAATGAACAGCCATATCATTTGCTACTACTTCTATCAAGTTCAAAAAATCAAAAGACTACTCGATCCCACGATCTAGTTAACTGAGCAACTTCAATACTATAGATAACTTCATTTGTTGAAATGACATAATTGGCCGAATAAATTAAATAAACCTGAAGGAATTCAAGAAGGCAAAGCTTCTGTAACTAGTAAAAATATTCAGAAGAGCAATTGTATTGCCGCAATCCATTAGTATAATTCCACATGAAATTCCAACATTCCAGGTAACTTAGATTTCATTGGATAACCTTATGTATCATTGTAATTAGTATCATGTCATCCTGTAGTGGTTACACTGCATATTCTTTATTTAACCAACATATTTTCAAAGTGCAGGTAGGTTGTCACACCTGCAACATTGAAATGGGACAAAGACGTTATCACCTCCTTTTTATGGGGAAAGGGAGTTTTTCCACTTTAAATGACATCATTGAAATGGGATTATGTATTTAACTTTTAGAGTCGCCACTTGGAATTGTTTATTACGGTGTTCCAAGTCACCATTTATTTTAAATCTCAATTCAAGAAAAATTGACTCTATTTAGGTCTATGAAATGCAGAAGACCAAGTAAGGAATTCTGTTAACCCAGCAGAAGATGTGAGCCATTTCCGAATTCCGTGATTTTAGCACGATCATTTTGCAATTACACTCGGCTTAATTATCTGATTATTACATGTTTTAGAACCTATGTGCTTTTGCCTTTACCGCTTTTAATTATATAATAATAATAATTTAAACAATTATGAAATTTTACCCAAAAAAAACAATCATGATATTTATGATGTCGCACACTTGTTTTTGTACACATTGCAAATCACGTCACGTGAGACATACACATGATTTACAACATGTTCATTTTTTTATTTATTTGAAGTTGGTTGGTCAAATCGCATAAATGCGAACTTGAATTTGGATTTACATATCATAGTTATGCCACGAGAACCGTACTCACAACCACGATAATTAAATTATTGTTGAAGTGCGCCTAAAAGCAACTAACGTGTTTATGAACACTATATCTTATAAATTCGAGATATTTATTTTTATGTCTATTTTATCCCCCCCCCCCNATAAACTTTGGATATACCATAGTCTACATCACTCACTAACGATTACTCTATTTCTACTTATAAAATTAATCAAGTAGGCCCAAAGTTGCATTCAAGCCCAATTCATCTTAAATCTTATCAACCCCAAACCAATCCAAACATAACCAAGCAGATCCTAAAAACCAATTAGCTAAACAAACTTACTGCGATACTATCGAAACAAGCTAATACATCACTCTAACAATTGGATCAAGCACACGACTAAACTCAACGAAGCAAAAGATTGATATGAACTTATCCAAAAGATTTCAGTGAAGCTCATAAAGGAAGTACGTATCTTCAAGAAAACAGATAAATGAATTAAGACAATGAACAAAGACAAAATAACACCGAAGAGATTGTGTTTCATGGCTGATTTTGCTGGGTTTGGGGCTGTTTTTTAAGCCGGGTTTTGGTGAGTTTCAGGACTGTTTTGGGGTTGGTTTGGGGTGTTTTGTGGGCAGGGTTCAGAAAAGCGCCCGCTTCCTCGCTTTAAGCGAGAAGCGAAGCGGAGCGGAAGGTTGGGCGCTACTCCAATTAAAAGCGGCTCAGGTAAAGAAAAGCGCCCGCTTCTCTCTAAAAAGCGAGAAGCGGTGAAACGGATCGAAGCGGAAGAAGCGGTCACTTTTCGAATTAAAAGGTCTAAAGTTTTTTTTCAAGTTAAAAGACCAAATCGCTGACTTCTGTTCCAGACCCAGTAGTTTCTTCGACTTCTTCAGCAGCAAACTAGGGTTCTAAACTAGCGATTTCTTCCTCACTAAAACGGTAAAACCAGCAATTTCTTCAAGCAAACTAGGGTTCTTCTTTTCTTCTTCAACACTACAACAACAGCTTTCAAGTTTCAACAGGTATGTTTTGCTTTTGCACTTTTTATTTTCATTCTTCTTCTTCTTTTTCTTTTTCTTTTTCTAAACGTCCAAAAAGCACCGAAATGCTGGTGAATTTTTTTCAGAAAAATTCTGCCCAAATTCTGCCCAATGATAGTGGAATAAAAGAATTTGACAATCTTGTAGAAGAATAGGATGCTCATTTTGTGCTTTAATTGATGCTACTCTTTAGCTTTTTAATTGAAGTATTGAATATTTGCTTACAATTACATGTGTTGTCTATGCCGTATTTATTTTAATTTTTTTTTAAAAATTCTGCTTCACTTAAAAAAAGCGGGCGCTTCGCTTCTCGCTTTTCGTGAAATGGGGGTTGTCGCTTTTCCTCGTTTCATGCTATTTTTAACACTGTTTGTGGGGCTGTTTTAAGGTGAGTTTACAGCTGGTTTGTGTGGGTTTAAGGTGGAAGAATAAAGCTGTAAAAAGGGAAAACTCCGTGCTCCTCGAGCAGCTACTGCTGCTGTGTTTTTGATGCTGGAAATTGGTGGTTTTGGGTGACGTTTTCAGCATTTTTTGGGGGCTGTTTGGTGTGAGTTTAGGGACTTTTTCGAGCTGCTTTTAGGGGGATTTCTTGGCTGGAAACTGGTGAGAAGCTGCTCCAAGCACGCATGATTTTTCACTCCTCAAATAGAATCTCAATTTACCAGAAAAGGAACACCGGACTATTCAAGGCAAATCAGAACTCTGTGCATATTACTTCAAACGTTCAAGATATAAAATCGAAATCTAACAACCGAACTTCGAGATTTTTGAACATAACATTAACTACACCTCAAACTAACAACAGTTAATGCTCACAGATTGCTCACACAAGACGCAGCATCCGTTTCCATACTTGTTTCTGTCATTATCACTTAGATCCACAGCATGTTCCAGGTATCAGTTAAATCAAACACTTCAATCAAAGTTATAACATTGCACTTATGCTAAAACTAAATTTCAACAGATTCAAACAATTGAAGCACATGATTTAGAAGTACATCCAAATTTTCATTACGAATCAGAGAGGAGATACATGATTGAGATATGTACCTGGTCGCTTAGGAATCAACCTAAAATTGCCAAATAAAAGCTAGAAAGGAGGAAAAGTTGGAGTTCAGCTGCAGTTTATTTGCAAAACAGCTTCAGTTACCAGTTGAAATCAACTTGAAAACCCAGGGAAGTGTGAATAAAATCTTCAATCTTCCAAAAAAAGCTTTTGTTTATGTGGGAATTTGAGGGGAGTTGTATGAATTCTACGGCGTCGTTTGCCTGGTCCTTGGGCTGGGGCGTAGGTTATATGTTGAAATTGGGCCTAGAAAAATCGGCCCAGCTGCTTAATTGAGGCACATAGCAACTAATGCATCTTTTATGATTTTTATGTATTTTAATAATGCAATTAAAGTCTAAAAATGCAATGAATGCAAGATAAAATATTTTTGATAATTTTTTATGTTAAATTTATATACATATGACGGTGTAAAAAAGGTTTACACCATTAGTCCAGTTTAACCCGTTATATTAGGTTATTACTTTATTTTTCAGGTTACCATATTAGCTTGCTATTAAAACTTACTTCCAATCTTTTTTAATAGTGAAAGAAAAGTAAAGGTCATATTGTTCCTCATTTTCTTCCAATATTAAAGGGGTTGAAGAGAAGCTGATATGAAAGAATTATCAAACGGATAGTCACCCCAAAACCTTAATTCTATGCTCTTATGAGAAATTCACATACAGTCAAACCTCTTTATAATAACGTTATTTATTCCGAATATTTTTGAATGTTATAGCGAAGTGCTGTTATATAGAAGATATTGTATACGGTCAAAATCATATGCCTCCGATTTTGTAGCTCGAGAAATCGCATCGAGGGCAAAAACTCGATATAGATCAATCTCGGGCTCAAAGGTAGAATAAGAGGCCCGAAGACCTAAGTGCTCGAGGAACATCGGAGTCAAGTACGACCGACTCCGAGACAGTGCCATTATGAGTTTGTTACAGAAGGACAAGATTCCCCCACGTCTCCAAGATCATGGCGTAAATTTCGGAATGGATTTGTACGAATTAGTACAAATCCGTACTAGGTGGTTATACATATGCCCTAATAAGATTCCTTACTGTAAATAGAAATGTACCTTATTTAGGCTTCCCATATTATATAAAGGAGACCCCAATCACTTAAAAAGATCATCTAATCATTGGCAAAGAATATACTCTCTTAATTTTCTTGCTCATTGTTCATCAGAATTGTCCTTTAGCTTTATTATTCTTGCTTTATTGTTCTTGACCAATCTCGAGGTCACTTGGGCTCGAGGTCAAGGCTGGCTTATCTATTGCTTAGGTATTACTTATTTCTTTCATCTATACTTCAGATTTCTTGATTATTAATTAGTGTTGAACAAAATCACGTATCATTAAAACCACAAATCAAATTTAATTGTTACTCGTATTTTCGAGGTAAACAATTTGGCGCTCACCGTGGGGCTAAAGATAACAGTGATGATTTCATTACTAATTCTCATAACATACGTTATTTTACACTTTTTCTTGTCAAGAATTTTTTGATTCTCAGGATTAAACATGTCGAACTCGCAAAATTCACATGTTCATGACAATGAAGGTCTTGGATTTCATGGGGAAAACAACAATGTAGGGGTCGGTGTACCACCGATAAACCCTAGGGAAGTACCAAATGTGGAACCAGTTGATGTTAGTTCACATATTACTTTTAATGCAGATTTAGGCGCAGACCCCAGAGGAAGCGTACGCATGGAAGCCCGTTCTAGGAGCCAAGGAACACAAGGTATAGGAGAAGGGGGGAGTCAGCCTCCAAGTGATATTCGAGATGTTGCAAGCTCAATAGATTGCCATCGCTCAACTTCAGAGTCAGAATAAAACTCCGAGTATAGCTGAATCGAAAAACACTCGACGTGCTGAACCAACGCTAGAGAGGTCAAACAAAAATGGCTCGGGGACTGACCCCACCATTATGAGGATGCTCGAAGAGCTTACCAAGAGAACCGAGTCTGGGGAAAAGAAGATTGAGGACAATGACAAAAAGGTGGAGACTTATAACTCCCATGTTGATCAAATATCGGGGGCACCCCTGGTCTTGAAAGGTTTGGATGCCAAAAAGTTCATACAAAAATCATTCCCTCAGAGCGCGGCTCCATGCCCATTCCTAAAAAGTTTTGCATGCCTGATATACCCAAGTATAATGGGACAACCAACCCTAACGAGTATATTACCTCATATACTTGCGGAATTAAAGGAAACGACCTAAATGATGATGAGATCGAGTCAGTATTTTTGAAAAATTCGGGGAAACTTTGTCAAAAGGAACCATGATTTGGTACCACAACTTGCCCCCGAACTCTATCAATTATTTTGCTATGTTAGCAGACGCCTTCGTGAAAGCATATGTTGGGGACATAAAGGTGGCGATGAGGAAATCAGATGTCTTTAAGATAAAACAGAGGAACGACGAGATGTTAAGGGAGTTCGTGTCCAGGTTTCAAATGGAGCGAATGGAATTACCACCGGTCTCGGATGACTGGGTAGTACAAGCTTTTATGAAGGGTTTGAATGAGAGGATTTCGATTACTTCTCGACAATTAAAGAAGAATCTGATCGAGTATCCAGCCGTGACGTGGTCAAATGTGCATAACCGTTATCAATCGAAGATCAAGGTAAGGACGACCAGTTGGGAGCCCCTTTGGGCTTAGTTCATCCTAATAGATTGGCAGCCAAACCCCCGAGGGATATAGACAAGGAATCAAGATCTAACAGGGAACGGTATCAGCCATATGTCGATCGGAGAAACAACGGTCCAGGTCGTAATGCTCCTCGGAACGATTGAGAAATGATCGAGGTCAAAACTCTCGGGGACTCATGAGTAAGAATGGGTTTGATAAGTGTACCGAACCCGCAGAGGCACCTCGATTATCGGAGTATAATTTCAATATAGATACATGAGGGATTGTGTCGGCTATTGGAAGAATCAAAGATACCAGGTGGCCCAAGCCTATACAAACTGATCCCTCTCAAAGGAATCCAAACTTGATGTATAAGTATCATGGCACATATGGCCATAGAATCAAAGACTGCAGGCAGCTAAGGGAGGAGGTAGCTCGGTTGTTCAACGAGGGTCACCTTCGAGAATTTCTCAGCGATCGAGCTAAGAATCACTTTAGGGAGAGAGATGCAAGCAGAAAAAATGAGCAGGAAGGACCACAACATGTAATCCACATGATAGTTGGCGGTGTTCGTGTCTTACAAAGACCTGTATTCAAACACAACAAGGTGTCGATCACCAGAGAAAAATGGACTCGGAGCTATGTGCCCGAGGACGCCGTATCATTCTATGACGAGGAAGAAGAAGGCATTATTGATACCCAATTTTCCCTATATATTTTTTATAGACATATATACTTTAAAAATAGCATATATATGCATATATAAGCATGCACATGGTTTTATAATTTTGTATAATTTTAAAGTCTTTAAAATGATTTAATTCTTCCCTTTTTACTTATAAATTTCCAATAATTATCCTTCAATTTATTGTTGCGGTAATTTAACCATCTAAATCCTATATTTAGGCCAAAATAGTGCTTAATTATTTTTTGTGCATTTTTATAATTGCATTTGCATTTTTAAAAACTAATTTGCATATATTTGCAATACTAGCCCTATTAACACATAATTACGTTTATATGCATAAAATAATCTTCTATATTTTTAAAATATTAAATATCTATTTTTAAATTATTTAGTACACGAAATTATTTTTTTAGAAATTATCTATTATTTATTATAAATTATATAAGGTTAAATTGGCTATTTAAAACTTAGCCAAATTGTATTTCAATTTTAGCCTAAATTCAACCCAATACCCCAGCCCAATTACTAATTGAATTACCTGACCCAGACCCCAAACATATCCTACCTGACCCAAAACCCATCAGATCATGGCCGTTGATCTAAAATATCAACTGCCCTCGTTTGTTCTTTCCTTTTTAATTCCAAACGACCCCCGAACCCTAATCATTTCTCCACATCCACCGCCCTAAGATCATTTCCTCTCTTAAAACACTCTCAACCTAACCCTAATCTTCAACCGCCAATCTCCCATCTCCGGTCATCTCCAGTGACCTCTCATCGTCTCTTAAGCCTCCAATGGCTTCTCTCATGCCATGCTTACCTTCTCTAAGGTCTTCAAAGGCCCAGGGCCATGCCGACTTGCATCTAGGGTTCATCTCCTGCCTGTTCTTGGTTATTCCAGTGTGATTTCAAGCAAAAACATTCTATATTTGCTACGATCTTTGAGTTTCTCGACAGGTTTCTTCATCGATCTAGGACGATCTGAGTTTGTTTCTTGGATGTTTTACACTGTCCTTGAGGTTCTTTACAAGAATCATGTGGTTTCAATTGTTTTTCATCTTCTTCTAAAATAAGGGTTTTCGGAACTTCTTTTAAATCCTTATTTAACCGATTCTTTGTGTTTAAACTTCTATTTCTCACATATCTTGACTGATTCTATGAGTTTACTATATCTTTAACTCGTCTATTATGAAAGCCCTAATTTTAGGGTTCTTTGTTTGGTTCTATGTATCAGCATGATTGACCGGTTCTCGTTCTTGAGTTTCTGTGATTTCTCGTGACTATCTTTACTTGATATGTTTCTACTGAGTTTCTTAGCTTGAATTTACACTGATTCTATATGCTTATGTTCATCATGACTGTTCACATCAAGACTTGCATCTTTCTCACCGAATCAGTATTGTTTGACTCTCATATTTGCTAGAGTCATATGTCGACTCTTGACTATCCATGTCTTACTTTATTTATATGCTAAATGCTAACTCTTTTCATGACTTTCTCTTTGATTGATTCTGAATTCCCTGTTTCTTGGTCTGATTTGAACATTTTCCTTTAAACCTTCGATTCTTATCTTTCTACTCAATTTAATTGATTCCCTTACCTTGTCTGCATTGTTACTTGATTCTTAACGACTATCTCCTTAATTAGAATTTTCTAAACCTGGCCCTAATTGTTTACTCTATTCCTACTATGTTTGAATTATTTCCTTTTCTGATATGCTCCATTTACATATTGATTTCTTTCCTTATTTGCTACATGTTCTTACCTTTTGAACTAATTCCCTTAATTAAGGGAGTACTTGTACTGATTTTGCTCTTATTGGTTCTGAATTCCAT